CACGGCCATGTCCCCTCCAACAAGATCTGAATTTCAGGTCTGGGGGCAGTGGCTTCTCCTTGGGTCTGCTATGCTTATTTATTCAAATTCTCTTTACTTATTTCTAGCCAATAACCTGTTACTCCAATTCCTGATATAGTGAACAATTCCTCATTTTAAGCTTCTCCTGTTCAAACTATAGTGTAGCTTTGCTCTCCTGATTGGGCCCAGATTGATAAACCTCCCTTGTCTACCTGACACACTGCTACTTATTCCTTGAGACTGGACTTAGGCATCATTGCTATACTTTGGCAAAAAGCTCAATAGATACGTATTAAGGTTATTTACTCAGGCATAAATGCAGGAATGAATGAATTCTACTACTGCTTGGAAGTTACTTAGGAGGCAGGCTGGCAAATGAGACTCACCTTTTAGTTGATTAATGACCAGAATGCCAGAGAGGCCATGGTTGGGAGACCCTGGATTTGGCATCTTAGAGACAGAGTTTGGCCCTCCAGGGGTCTGCTCAGGCTGAGTCTTATCATCCACCCAAGCCAGGCTTCCTGACTATCTCCCCACACAGACAACTCTAGCCTGTCACCCTGCCTGCTTCAGAAACATAGTGAAACTCAAGGCCCCACACCCCAAGCTGGATTTTATAGTCTAACATCATGGCACAAAGATGGGAACCAAAGGAAAAGGCCCCCAAAACATTTATCTTTGACTTGCTCTGAAGGTCTTAGTAAGAAAATATCTTTAAATAGTCAGTTTGAATATCAGCCAGGTAGGTATTTTGTCTAATAATTCTCAAACCTTGGTTTCCAATACACTTGGGTGTTTCCAGGCACCTCAAAAGGTTTTGCAAACCTCTCTAAAAGATTATAATGGAGAGCCTTAATTTACTTTATGCTAAAAATTAAATATATGCTTGGTGGCACTTTTAGGAGGCGTGAAATAGGAGTGGGAAGGTTACAAAAAGGAAATAATAATAGGGTAGGAAAATTTCAAAGTGTGGGAATTATTCATCTACATTATAGCAAAAGGCATAAATCAATTCACATTATCCTGGTATGTGCCACACCTTTAACCCCTCCCAAAACAAAGGCATAAAAAATAATTAAACACAGACACACACACACACACACACATTTACCTTGCTTTATCTTGTCAACATAGACTGTATATATACATAAACATTTTTATGTGTTGACAAACATATTTCTCCGATTATATTATTCAGCACAGTATTTTATTTACCTTTTTGCTACACCTTTATTTCTATATTTTTACCTCAGTTTCTCCCATCTGCAGAATGTTGTAAGGATTGAAAAGTTAATATTTGTAAAGTTTTCAAATAAAACCACACACAAATTTAGCGTTTAGTGTTAAAAATAAATTAAATAGGAATAAATTTAACCAAGGAGGCAAAGAACTTGTATACTGAAAACACAAAATGTTGCTAAAAGAAATTAAAGACATAAATAAATGAAAAGATATCTTGCATTTGCGGCCTGGAAGACTTCACATTGTTAAGATGCCAATAATACCCAAAGTGATCTACAGATTCAGTGCAACTCCTATCAAAATTCCAGCCACAGTTTTTATAGAAATAGATAAACCCATCCTAGAATTCATACGGAATCTCAAGGGGCCCAGAATAGCCAAAACAATCCTCAAAAATGAAGAGCAAAGTTGAAGGTCTCACACTTCCTGATTTCGAAACTTGATACAGAGCTACAGTAATCCAAACAGAGTGGTGCTGGCATAAAGGCAGACACACAGAACGATGAAATCAGAAACAAACCTTAATATATAGGGTCAAACAATTTTCTACAGGGGTGCCAAGACCACTCAATGGAAAAAAGACAGTATTTTTTTCAATGAATAGTGCTGGTAAAACCAGATATCCACATGCAAAAGGATGACGTTGTACCATTACCTTACACATATACAAAAATTAACTCAAAGTGGATCAAAGACCCAAACATCAGAGCTAAAACTATCAAACTCTTAGAAGAAAATAGGGGCAAAATTTCAGGACATTGAATTTTTCAATGATTTCTTGGAATTAACACCAAAACACAGGCAATAAAAGAAAAAATAGATAAACTAGACTTCATCAAAATTAAAATCTTTTGTGCATCAAAAGACATGGCCAAGGCAACCCACAGAATAGGAAAAAAATTCAAATTATCTATTTGGTAAAGGATTAATATCCAGAATAAAGAACTCCCACAACCCAGCAACAACCTCCATTTAAAAATGGGCAGAGAACAATGGTTCCCAGAGGCTAAGGGGAAGCAGGAATGAAGAGTTATTGTTTAATGAGTAGAGTTTCAGTTTGGGATGATGGAGAAGTCTGGAGGTGGACGGTGTTGACGGTTGCACGGCAATGTGAGTATATTCAATGCCGCTTACACTTAAAAATAGTAAAACGGCAAATTTTATGTTATGTATATTTTACCACAGTAAAAAACCTAAAATAAAATAAATCAGAAACATGAAACAGAGTACTTATTATGTGCCACTTGTCACCTGTTACTTGAGTTGATCCTCTCAACATTCCTATGAAGCAGTCACTTTTACCATTATACCCATTTTCTGGATGAAGAAATGGAGGCTCAGAGAGGTCACGTTCTTTGCCTTTGGAAATGAAGAAAGCAAGTGGTAGAGCCCAGAGAGTCAGGCTCCAGCCTCAGTCCCTGTAACCGGTACCCCACACATATTCCTTGCTGGCTGGCAGATGATGAACATGACCTGCGTTTGGGTGGGGTGAGGCAAAGCAAGGAGAGGCAAGGGCCAGGCCTCCTCCCAGCCACCGGCCTTAATTGTGGGTTTCTGACTCAGCACTCACTCAGCCAAACAGATCCGGTGTGTCCTGCGCCAGGGCCTTCTCCTGACTTTTACTGCTGGTAGCAGAGCACTTGAAAGAGGTGTAGCCCCAAATACCTTCACTGTCAACATAAAGGGAAACCTGGTTGGCCTCTGATGGGAGGGAAGAGGTTTCTTTAAACTTTCTCCAAGAAAAGGCCTGAGGGAGCGTGTGCCCTTTCAAGATGTCTGGTGATTACCTGACCCCTCATTCAACTACAAATCCAGTGAAGTTTAAACAAAAATGTAATAAGTAATGCTGTGGGGTGACTCATTCACTAAAATACCTGCACAATCTGGATTCGGGGGAAGTTCTTGGATTGGAGATTTGAAAATGTTAATGTTTTACCAATGTGTATGGTGGTTTTCCATATAATATTAATTAATAGTATCCTGGTTTTTGATATAATAGTATATTGAATTAATACATTATTAATTAGCAGTATTATGCTTTTAATATATTAATATATTTTTCTTTTCTGTAATCTTCCTTTCTCTCTCTCTTTCTGGCTATAAAAGAGAACAGTGCCAACACAAGAGCTCTGTATTATTCTTTTTTTTTTTTTTTTTGAGATGGAGTCTGCTTCTGTCACCCAGGCTGGAGTGCAGTGGCATGATCTGGGCTCACTGCAAACTCCGCCTTCTAGGTTCAAGTGATTCTCTTGTCTCAGCCTCCTGAGTAGCTGGGATTATAGGTGCCCACCACCATGCCCAGCTAATTTTTTGTATTTTTAGTAGAGACTGGGTTTCACCAACTCCTGACTTGAAGGGATCCACCCACCTCAGCCTCCCAAAGTGCTAGTATTACAGGTGTGAGCCACTGCTTTCGGCCAGTATTATTAATGTCTGTTGAGAGCTTACTATATGTAAGCTCTCACACCATTTGTATGTAAGCTCTATGTATTTATGAGAAAACACACAGGGCTGAATAACCTATCCAATGTCAAGCAGCAAGTACAGGGAGAGCTGAGGGTCACACCCTGCTGTCTGATCCAGATCCTTGCTATAAACCAGCCTCATGACCTCAGGACATCCCCACTTCATTCTTTGGGGCCCATTTTCCTTACCTATGAAATGAGGGAATTGAATCAGACAAATAAGATTTCCTTCCAGCTCATACATCTCTATTTCCTTATCTCTGCATACAAATGGTCCTCCACCAGGTCCTCCTAGGTGTATCCACCAGCACTGCCTGCCTGGATTCTGGGTACCATCCATGCCGTGAGCCTGGGAAAGAGAGCTGGGCCTGGCTGAAACTGACAGCGCTCCTGAGCACTGGCCTGAACTGCAGGGCTTTGACTCGGCACTCACTTACGCTGGACAGATGAGGTGTCTCTGTGCTAGACCCTTCTCCTGACTTTTACTGCTGGTGGCGGAGCACTTGAGAGAGTGCTACTACTCTTTTGTCCGCCCCAAATAGCCTTTACTCTTCAACTGCACTCACCCCTCTACCTACCTAAATACCTCAACTGTCTTAACAAAGTCTACTCACACTCTGAAACGACCCGATTAAAAAGGCAACAGATAAAAAGATTCAAGTTGATATTCTCATTACACTTCCATCACCTGGAGTCACAGAATTTCTTCTCACTTGTGAATTTCCTCACGAGTCTAGGCAGTGGTATGCTGGTAAGTGCTTAACACCTAGCTCCAGGAAAACAAAAAAAGCTCTGTAATGTGAATCATTTTCTGAGTTTAAATGTTCCCACCATGGCTGATGTCACCTTTGCCAGTGATGGCAAAGTCACTGAACACAAGTGGAAAAGAGATGCAAGCCAGTAAGCGCTGGTGCCAGCACAACACTGAGTCTGTTTCACACGACTACGTCCTCTGAAAGCCTATAGCCAAAAGCATTGCTCATTCATTTGTTCTTTAATTCATTCAATGAACTTTTTAAAAAGTATAGGAATTGAAATGACATTTATTAAAATAGTTATTTATTACAAATCAAAAGCCCTACTAGGCTTATTACAAAGCATTATTTTTCCAGTACTTCCCTCAGAGGTTCCTTAGGTGGAAGGGTAATTCTTCTACTTTAAAATAATTGGCTTACCCAAATCAGATGCGATTATTTGCTTCTCCTGGATTAGCAATTCTCATTAACATCCTTAACATTGGGAAAGGTGACATCAGAATAGCTTTGACTGATATAAAGTCCAACCTGCTTTATTGTTGAAAGTTTATAAACCCAATGCAAAAAAAAAAAAAGTCACCTCTGGAAAATGCTTACCTAGACATGTACTTTCTACAATTCATTTTCTCTATATTGTTATATTCAAGATACATGTGGTATGTGAAGAGTATGAACTCTGGAACCTGAATGCCTGGATCCTAATCACAGTTCCACCAATATTAGCTGTGTAATCTTGGGCAAATTACTTAACCTCTCCATGTTTTGGTTTTCTCATGTTAAAACAGGATTCATAATAGTAGCAATAGCTGTTGTGAGGGTTAAGTAAATATACATACATACATTTGTATGTTTGTATACAGCATATAGAAAGTTCCATGTAACTGTTAGCAGCTATGTGTCATCAAACACAATCAGTGTTCCTCAAATGCTGTCTAGGCATCTTTCCAACAAGATGGTGCAGCCCTTGAAATCTTTTTGCAGTCCTCCACAGTGCCTAGCATACATGACTTTAGTAAATTCCTGCTGAAAAATTAATTGATTAAATGCAATTGATCAATGCAAAATATCCTTGCCACAAATAAGCCATCTATTCTATTAACAGGATCTTAGGCATACTTTATGTCTCTATAACCCCTCCAAAGGCAGGGAAGCTGATCAAGAATAAGGGCATGGCTGGGCACAATGACTCACACCTGTAATCCCAGCACTTTGGGAAGCTGAGATGGGTGGATCTCTTGAGGCCAGAAGTTTGAGACCAGCCTGGCCAACATGATGAAACCCCATCTCTACCAAAAAATGCAAAAATTAGCCAGGTATGGTGGCATATGCCTGTGGCCCCAGCTACTTGGGAGGCTGAGGCACGAGAATGGCTTGAAACCGGGAGGCGGATATCATGCCATTGTACTCCAGACTGGGTGACAGAGTGAGACCCTGTCTCAAAAAAAAAAAAAAAAAAAGAATAAAGGCATAGAGTAATTTCCAGAGCTGTTAGCATGTATTTATGTTCAAGAGTGCTTATTTTATACAAGCAAGAAAAAAATAAAAGCAACCTAAATGTTCATCAAAAAAGGAAAGTGAATAAATTATGATGTAACCATTAGATATTAATGTTTTCAGGAAGTATTATTAACATGAAAAAAGTCCTAATTGTAATAAGTGAAAAAGCAGCATTTAAAGCTGTATAAACAATATAATACTTTACATTCTTTAAAAATGTGTTTGCATAAAGAGAGAAATAAAGAAACTTACAATAAATATACCACAATCATTAATAGCTGTCTCTGGTTGGTGGGATTCAGGTTGATTTTTAAATTTTTTTCTTCTTGATATATTTCTGTATTTTCTAGTTTTTTCTAAAATGATAAACAGAAAAGAATTGCTGTTAAATAAAGGAATTGCTGTTAAAATGGGGACACTAATTCCAACTTTGGAATTACATATCCACCCAATTTGATGTTACTCACTGCCACCCATCCCCCTCCCATTCCCAACCTCCCAAAATGTCCCAAATCTGACATGATGGCGTAATCTATGCATTGCAAATATGACACCATCATCCAGCTATTTGGAGGCATTAATAATTACCTTAATTTTTAACACTCCATTCAGGTATCTGGCATTGGGTAAATACAGTTAACCTCACTAGACATATTTTCAGCTATTAAAAACCAAGCACATTTGTGTTATCTCCTGCCCTGGAGGTGCCTGATACAAGGGAAGCATGATTGAGTACCTTACTGATAAGGCTGAACAAATATGTCTTTTGAAATAGACTATGGGAAAACCTCAGATTGGAGATGCCTGATGCACAGTAAAGTCTAGCAAAATTTGGGTAAAAGGTGGGTCTCGATTTAATGAAGTGCTCATGCTGGAATATTTGTTTTTAAAAAGCCACTTTTATTACTTTCAAATCCAATAGGCTTGAAGCACAATATTGTCGAAACAGAGGTAGCAAGTACACAGCAGCCCCCACTTTTAGGAATAGGTGAGAACTATTTATAACGAGCCAATCAGTCAACTATGATTTGGTCCCTCTGATGCGTTTAAGAACAAATTATTCAAGATAATGAAAAAAGCAACTTATTCCCTTAAGTGGTGCAATTTTTGGCAATCTTATTTTTATTCTTAATTTGCTTACCTGCACCATTCTTCAAGGCAATCTCAGGCCAAAGCCTATCTAAAGCATCATAAATCTCAAACAACTGAGCTAAATCAATAAGGTTTTATAGGACATCTTAAAGAAAAAGAAGAAAAGGCATTACTTCACTAAATGTAGCTAGAGAAATGCACAGAAGTTATTTCTGTCCAGGCTCCCTCGCTATGGATGGAGGAACCAGACAGTTCTATTTTCATTCATAAGGAGCATCTCAAAACCTGGGGCGCATCATGGCATGCAATCAGCTCCAAGGAAGAGGAAACAGGAGAGCCGCTTGGCAGCCCCTGAGATACTTTAGGAGAAGAAATTATTAATAACAAGGAATATTTTACTGTGGACCAAAATGTGTTCCCTCTGTTGGTGAGTCAGCGATTTCATGGAAATAATTTATTTACATTAGATTTGTTAATTGCCTCATTTACCTACTGGGTATTGTTCTCCATGGCATGTATCATGAACACATATATTTGACTTTATTATTTTTATTTTGTCTGTCTCCCCCAATCCAAAAGCAATCTCCTTGAAGCAATGGGTTTTTTGTTTGTTTGTTTGTTTGTTTGTTTCACTATGGTTTCACTGGATGCATTTAGAACATGCCAGTACATTGGAGGTAGACAACAAATATTTGTTGAATCAAGCTCCCACATACTCGAGGGGCATATGTCTATGGTGAAGTAGAAAGAGCACTGGATTCAGGGTCCAAAGTAGAGAGCACTTTGTTCGGCTCATACTAGACATGAAATGACCATTTTGGAAGTGGACAAATCAGTGGATGGATGGATGGACAGATGAGTGAATGGATGAGTGGGCGATGGAGCAATGTTATAATGGTAACTCTGTATCTGTAAAATGAGTATAACAACTCATTAATAAAACTGCGAAAACAGTTGTGACATCCTAGTTGCTCAGTAACTCCTTTATTTTTCTTGTAGCTGATATAGAGAAAGAATAAACAGGGTGATGAAAACCCTAGCAGTGTAAAACAAGGAAAGAAAGCATTTAATCTGAGTGAATGAGAGGAGACAGAGGTATATGTGGGCAGAGGTGTCTGTTTTCACTCTGTCTTACAGTGTTCCCAAACCATGGTAGTGTTTGAGTGGAGGCTGCAAGAGGCAGGGAAGTGGGGCAGGTGGACAGGCTGCTGGCTTCCAAGGAAAACTAGACTTCAGTTTCACCTCAGTGGCCTCCTGGAGCTGAGAGGCATTAGATGTTCAGGAACAAGGTGATGAAAGTCCTCCATAGTCACTCTGGTTTCGGGGGTCTCAGCTCTGGTCATTACATCTCCAGGGTAGTCCAGCCCTGCGTATTTGTTAACGTTGCTCTTCCTGCTACAGGAGAGGAAGCCTTCACTGAGCAGGCTGCCTTGCTTGATCCTTCCAGACCTGCAGTGTGGCTGGCTCTGGCGTCTTCTGAGTGCGGCAGCATCTTCTCTGGGGTCAGGGGCGGGGTGGGCCAGGATGCCTCTAAGCATATCCACTTCGGGTCCAGATAGCTGGGGTTGCTGGTGCTCTTGGAGATATTTCTGGTCCTGGGAAGCAGAGGAGAAGGGAGATCATTATTAACCAGCGTGGGAGCGGGTCCCTGGCGACTTGACTCTCTTGGTTGGCCATCCCCCTTCCTAGTGATGGTGTCTTAGGCAAACAAGCTAGGGTGAAAGGGCAGAAGAGAACCACAGGCCGGCAGTGGGGTGGGCCTGGACCCTTTCAATAGTAACAGATGGGTCTGCAAGGTGTCCCAGGGCCTAGGGACGCAGTCCCTCCAGAGGAACTCTGAAATCCCCATTGGTAGCACACTGGGGTAGCCTGGCTGAGACTGGAGTTTTTTCCCTGCTATTGTTGCCTCAGGCCTATACCTAAAGTGCCCCAGAGCTGTGCCCAATGCTGCGATGTGCTAAAAAAAATCCCCTCATTTGGGGACCTTGGCCCATGCTTCCTTATTAATTGGTTCAAGAAGCGAACTTTCTTCTGCTACCGATAAGAGACTGTCAGGCTCCCCTGGGCCCCAGCCATCAGTACTGTGCATGTGGATTGCTCTAAATATCTATTGCTGCAGGATATTTGGATATCTAAATATCCAAGCCCTGACACAGGAGCTGCTGGGAAACTCCAAATATGCCTTTTTCTCAGAGATCTGCTAACACAAGCTCTCCTGTGTCAGGAGGTGACATTCCTGCCTCTGTCCACAGGAATGGGAAAGCTGCACAGATGTCCTAAAATACAGAAAGGATGAGAGAACAGCACTGAGCTTGGCTGGTTTCCCACCTGTAATCGACATGGAAACTACACCTCTTAATCTCCAACAGGCAAAACGACTCCTGTTGCTGTGTGCAAGATCTGTGGCTCCTGCGTCCTCTATGCCTTTTTGTGGTTGTCGTCCAAGGAACCGTTTGTGGAAATGAATGCGCCACCCTAACTTCCACAGGGTCACCTCTGTCCCTAAGTCTCTTAGGTGCTCAAATCTTGACCCCTGGGAGCAGTGGCTAGCACCATGGTAAACCAGACAAGGCACATGGAAGGAAAGGGTGAATTGAGGAAGAGATCTGAAAACTGCTTACAAGTGAAGCCTGTGTATAGTTCCATGCCTAACTAAACCCATTCTTCTGGCAGTGCTACTGAAACCCAGAACAAGAAGAGAAGGCCCACAGCAGATTCCAGGGAGAGGCAGCTGGGGCCAACCTGAGCTTGGGGGAGGGGTGAGGGAGGCTCTCGACCACATCACTGGGTACCCCCCTATCCCATGAAAGGACAGGGGACCCATGCACTCGACTCAACTGTGGGGTTTTGTGTTCCAGCTACCAATGGGGAAGGGACCCAGGTCTCTCTGAGGGTGTGGGCAATCATGTGACCCCCCCTCATTCTCCCTTCCCACTGCTCACTCTGAGGTTCAGTAGAAATAGTATATGGAGATACCCTATCACAAGCTCAGCCACGCTTCTCTCCAACCTCACACACAGCACACCTCACCAGGATTCAGGCTGGCTGGGTCCCATAATACTAGCCACCATTCACTGATGTGGCCCAAGTACCTAGAACAATGCCTGGCACATAGTAGGTGCTTAATAAACAGTTGCTGAATACATGCTCCTACTGAACTCCTCCTATGTGCCTGACACTATGCTAAAAGCTTGACAATTATTATTCCATTTATTTTTCACAAGAATCTTGTGAGGTAAATGTCAACTCATTTTCAGATGAGGAAACCAAAGCTTGGAGATGTTGAGCAAATTATTCAAGGTCCTACTGCCTGGTGTAACAGGAAGTTAAACCTGTCTCCTGCCCTTCCCCGCTGCTGTCTCCAAAGACTGAGCTCCTAAACATAGCATTTTTCTGCTTTTCTCTCCCATTATTCAAGGCCAGAAACAGGAACCAGAACATGCAAAGGAAAGAGGGACAGAGAGTGAGCTGGATTTTCACACCCCCAGCCCTGGCAGTTGCTGGCCCTGGGGCAAGTGGCCTGGAGGAGGCAAGTCCCCTGCAAGGCTCCAGTTGAGTGGCCCATGACCTTGAGATTCTACCCATCAAGATGCTCCCCTCCCTCCTCTCTGACTCTTGGCCCCATCTTTCAAAAGAATAGGGTCAGAAGGGATGGTGCATGGAAGTATAATTTCAAATTATAGTTCTTAGGTGAGGATAATGTCACAGATCACACCTCATCACTTCATTTACGGGTTTCTTCGTTTATCCAAGATGGTTGCATACAGCTGCCTTTAAAGTGGGTCACTAAGTCCTTCACTATGAATAATCTCACTCTGTGTGTGTGTGTGTGTGTGTGTGTGTGTGTGTGTGTATGCGTGCATGTTCCTTCAGAGTAGATTAGCTGAATCCACCTGGAATTATGCCAGCAGAGCTTTTAAACAAATTTCTCTGTGCAGCAAGTTGCTTCAGCATATAGCAGGTGACACTTATGGGTGGGAATGTCCTATCAGGAGAAGATGCTGCACCTCCAGGGAGTTTTCCACTGTGAGGCTTGAAGAAATCAAGCCCCTCTTCAGTCTCTGGAAACCTACTTGTGATCCAGTCTGTGAGCCTTCATGGGCTGGATAATCCCAAAAAAAGCATATGGATCAGGAGAGAACTGGAAATGGAGCATTCCCAGAAGCTGCAAGGTTTCTCAGTGTCATTCAGTCAACCAGGTGTCCTTAGGGAGCATCCCCTGAGAGGCATGGAGAGTGTGAAATTGTCGAAGACCCCACCCTCCCTGTCATGCCATCCAGTTACGGAGACGCCGGGTGCATATCCAGCGAGCCACCCAGGCAGGGATCAGCCATGAGGACGAGGAGTGTTCAGGGGCCGGAGAGGTTCCCCAAGGGCTGGGCTTCTGGAAAAGCTTGGGGAAGAGATGGAAAACACCCGCTGCCTTGAAGAATGGCTCAGGGAGGTGGAGAAAGGAAGAGCCCCGGGAGCGATGGGGACACTTTGTACATGTATGACAGGAGCAGACTCCCAGCCCCGTGACTGAGGCTTGGATTGGGCAGACTTAGCAGGGCAGCTGTTGGGCACGCAGCTACTCCTGCCTGCTCCTCCATGGCATGGGCACCCAGAGCTGCCCCACAGGCTGCTGAGTTATGTGTTTTAAGCCAACACTTGGCTTCTGCCCTGAGCTAAGCTTCTGACTGGCTTTGGGAAGGATTACTGTGGTATTTCCAATCCTTCATACAGCATCTTTGTGATCCAAACCAAAAGTGCTTTAGGATCAAGTCTCGCAGGTCCCCAAACCCACCCATCACTCGTATTCTTTCTTCTCTGGGCATCTCAAATTTGCATTTGCTTTTCTATGTCATTCGCCACTGTGGCCCCAGCTGGTCTTCATAAGAAACTCATTCACTAAAAGATTTGAAAATGTGCACACCCTTTGACCCGTTAATTCCATTTTTCAAAATTACTATTGACTGACTTTTCTCTTCTTCTGTTTGTTCACTCAGTGTGGACAGATTTGCTAGGTGCTGGGCTACACAATGATGAGCAAAAAGAAACTCAAGGCCCTGACAGAGCTTGTAGTCTAGGTCATTTGTTTTTCCCCTAAATACATAGATAGAGGCTCTACAGGCAAGTCTGTTGTACTCTGGGAGAGAGTATACAGTCACTGTATCATCCCATAAAATAAAATCCCATTGACCACACTGCAGACACAAAATGACAGTTGTAGAGGGAATAAAAAGGAAACTTTCAGGTTAGGTTTTGAAACAGTGTGCCACACCCCAAGAGCCTCAGGGGTGGGCTGGAACTGGGTGGGGTGTGGGCACCAGCAGAGACAAGAAGGAACATTCATTTGTGTATCCCCTGAGGGACTCTCCTGTTCCCAGCACCCCACCCACCTCTCCAACCAAGCAGTTATTTGTCATTTTCTCCATGGCACTGGGGGGTTTCCTAGTAAGATCTACTACTATTTGAACAGAATATTCTGTGACTGAAAAAGTTTGAAACCACTAGTCGTCTCAAGGTTCTTAAAGTGCTTCTATATTTAGTCTGGAAATCTTCCAGACTGGACGATTCCCCTCACCTTACCCCAATTCCCTTTAAATTCTCTAGTTTTTTATGTTTCATTAATGGGCTTTAATGATACCTGATACATGCTGGGTGTGTAATTAATGGGCAATAATACATGGACATGGACATGATAAGTAACAAAATCTCATCAACCATGCAAACATGCCGGACACTCAAGGTCCTCAAATAATTTTGCTCTATATTTAGCAGAGGGAAAAACTAGCTTAGCTAGGAACACATCAAAAACAAAAAAAAATGTAAGCAGTTTTACCAGTTTGACATGCATCCTAGATGGTGTTATTTGGCACTTTATGTACTGTTTGCTAAGTTTCCACAATGTGCTAGATAGCAATCTCTCTACTCTAATTCTTGAGCCAATAGATTCTATAACTACACTTTTGTCGTTCACATACCATCACTGCAATGATTTTTTAATAATATCTGAAGGCCATTTGTACTATTAAATATTTAATTTAAACAGTTATATTGTATTTAAATAAGTTTACTTTAAAAGAAAACTTTTATATCACTTTATATCACTACCTATAAATAGAAGACCAAAAACTGTAACAAATTCATAACAATGAAAACAGTAATTTTTCTGTGTAGCATTTACTATCCCCTTTGGTTTCACCAGGGATATGGACACTGTGTTTTTGAAACATTGTTTGAGCTCACACCATCACAGTATTCAGCTAAGAAACTAAAAGTAGGTGTCGTTTGTCTCTGTTCCTCCACCTAAGCCTACAAACTCCCTGCTACCTGCAAACCCACACCCCCACTCCCCTGTAAGCATTCCCTTGCTCTAAGCTATCCCACAACTAGTCCTTGTTAAGGTATTAAACTATCACCTTATCATTTTTGCATGTGGATAAGAGAAGAATCTTTCAAAGCTCAAAGATCAGATCTTTATTGGAATTTTGGATATAATGCAAGAGAATTGTATCATTTAATTCAAAGCACATGCAACAGGTGATCAACTAGCCACTCCTATTCACAACCCAGTCCTCATGCCTCCCCACAGGCTCATTTTTAGATTTCC